ATCGTGTTCAGATCAGAGGCAGGGATATATATGCGTATGCGTGTGGGGGTAACGAATTTTGTCGAATTGACATAACAGAAAATGTTTCTTCCACATCAGCCAGAGGTTTCTTTGGATTTGATTTGGGTTGTATGGGAGCCAGTTACTGGTTTGTGATCAGATAGCAGAGCTCTGGAGGAATGACCCACAAGTTGAGAACAGGGCTTGCATTCAGAGAGCTCTTCCTTGATGTAGTGGCTCCTGCTCTGAGAGAGAGAGAGAGAGAGAGAGAGAGAGAGAGAGTCAGTGGTGCTTTACTACTGTTACTGCCGCTGCCTCAGGCCTTCCATGCAGCAATCAATGCAGCCTGGAGTCAATGGAACTTCAAATCTGATTCCTGTTCGTCTCTACCTCTGCAAGACTTAGGGACGGGAATCGAACAGAATTCTGATTCCAGTTCCGACTTCTTAATGATTGCATTAATGATTTTTTTTAACTTTTCAAAGATGGTGACTGCTAAACAAAACAATACTGTTTTTGTTTACATATTTTAATGTTTTTTTAGTTGGAGTAGCAAGTCTAGAATGCACTTCATTTTGAGTTTGACATGACAAAAGTGAAGATTTGCGGTTTAAAGCTTAAAGTCCCCATGAAATCAAAATTAAACTTTTTTGGGTGTTAGTATCAATATGTTAGTCTTAAGGTTATCTATATGGCAGTGTGCTCCAAAACAGTGACAAAATTCGCATTTAGAAGATATAAGCGTTCAAAGCTTGCAGTTCGTCACTTCCGCCAAAACGGCTCAACGATTTTTTTGACGTCACATTGTACTTCAGCTTCTCATCAAACTTTCTGTCCAATCAAATGCTCTCTAGAATCCGAAGCGCCCGCCCTCTACACTATAAAATAGACGCTGAAGCCGCGGCTGAAATCGGTCACTTGTCCACAGAATTAGTATTTTCTGTACAGTGAATGGCACGTAGAGCACTATATAGGGGACAGGGAACAATTCAAACAGTGCAAATATGCTTTCCATTGACGAAAAAAAGAAGTCTGGTTTCGCACCGCACACACACTCTGCTCCGGTCCAGAGACACGATAGCACGGAGCGGATCACATGTGCGAGTCGGCGCAGACCACAAAATGTATCGGAGCTATTTAAATTCTACACAGAATGCTATATTTTATAGCAATATGGATGAGATTGTGGCTGGCATACCCTGTCAAATGCGGCTTTACGGAGCTCAACAGCTCTGAACGGCTCTAGCCCAAGCTGTGATATAAACGAACGCTATACGCCGATTTCACGCAGCCGCCATATTGAAATCGAAAGCGAGGCTCCGGTGGGAAGAAACCCGGAAGTATTGCCTTGAATCACAGGAGTAGCGATGTCGTATTGCTGTGTACCAGGCTGTACATCCTATCAACGGAAAGAGTGCGATAAAGAGTTGTCATTTCATCGCTTTCCGAGTGACCCAAAAGTCTGCTGTGAATGGATTGTGAAAATAAGAAGAGATGTTGGACCTTATTTTCAGGTAACTTAAGCGAAACACCTTTATTAATCTAGCTAGCGCTAGCTCTCCAAGCTACACGTTTTACTCCGTTATCAAACGCATGTTAATGAACTGATTCTCCCATAAGGTTACAGACAACACTAGAGTATGCTCCAAACATTTTACCCCGGACTGCATTGTACGATCGCTCACTGGTTTACATAGACTGAAACATGGAAGCGTACCAACTTTGTTTACGTGGAGCTGTGAACTGAAGCCCAGGAGGACACTTGAGCGACATCAGCGGTGCGTGCCGTTCACTTGTTTTATGATATTAGGATTGTCTTTTTAAATTGAATTTAACCTTGCTGAATACAAAATATGATAGTACTGTAATGTTTTATCATATTACCTGATGTAATTTGTCATGTTGTATAACCTAACCAAAGTGATATGAATTAACTTTGTTTGTTGTCAATTCTTACAGTTGCACAATTTGTATAGTATAATTTACAGTATTGACAGAATGCGGTTTATTCAGACATATAAAACTGTTGGAAGTGTCAGATCTTCATCAATTGACGGCAAATTTGATAGATATTACAAAAATTCTGAATTTTAAAATGTATGTCTGTGACAACTGTGCATAACAGTACAATATGAACAAAACTAACTATTAATTGTGATTTTCCTACCCAGTGTTAATGATATTGAAACATTTGAGGAGGATGAAGAGGAGGACCATTCATTTTCTGATCAGAACACAGGAGAACAGTAAGTCATCTATCTAATGCCAACAGAGTGAAAGATGTCTTATATAGGCATGATAGTTGCTGCATAATGACTCAATTGCTACATTTACATACACCCAAATAATCTGTTAGTAATGGGATTGATAGCTCAAATACCTTGCACACATGCAGTGCTGGGATGAATGTTTACTAGAGCCCTTTTATAAGATCTCTATGAACCAGATAAAAATTTAGGGTTCATATAAACAACTTTCAGAATCTGAAATCGGATTTATTCAGATTGATGAAAATTTGTGTAAACCTACACATTGACAACCTTGATACTTATTTTTGGTCTTCATCATTTTTTTCTTTGTCTCTTCTATCCTAAAACAGATCTAACAGTGGTTTTGTGGCACTGCAAGACCATGATTACCTGGAAACATCTCCTTCCACTGAAGAGCAGCTGAATGCAGCACAAAAGGAGATTGCTCGTCTGACAAAAGAAAATGAAAATTTAAGAAGTCAGCAGTTTTGTCTACAAAGATTCCAATGTGAGCCCAAGCTGATCATGTTTTACACCGGATGTAAAGATTATGAAACCCTCAAAGCACTCTACCAGTCTCTTCAACCTACAGCACAGTCTCTGGTGAGATGGACTCAAATGCAAAGACTTAATAAAACAGAACAGACTGTAACTGCTGGCTTTCAGGCTCAAGACATCGGCCTCTTTGACCCGTTTTTCTTGTTTCTCTGCCATATGAGGCAGGGGCTTCTTTCCGCAGATTTAGCAGTAAGGTTTAATATCTCAAAGGCCACAGTCAGCAGGATATGTATAACTTGGGCTAACTACCTGTATTTCATGCTTGGTACACTACCAGTATGGCCAAGTAGAGAGGCTGTAGATGAGCTAATGCCACCCTGCTTCAAGAAGACCTTTCCAAAAACACGTGTTGTGCTAGATTGTACTGAGATCCATATTCAAGCAGCAAGTTCAAAAGTTCTGAACACCATGACATACTCTCATTACAAGGGAACCACAACTTTGAAATCCCTGATTGGCATCACACCCTTTGGGACAGTTAGCTTTGTAAGCAACCTATACACAGGCTCCATCTCTGACAAGGAAATCACCAAAGAGTCAGGCATTCTGAAACTGCTTGAGCCAGGTGATGAAGTAATGGCTGATAAGGGCTTTCTTATCAAAGACCTCCTTGCTGACATCAATGTCAGTCTTGTAACCCCAGCTTTCATAGGGCCAAGCGGACAATTCAGTAAATATGAAATTACACATACCCAAGAGATTGCCCACTTGAGGATACATGTGGAGAGGGCCATCAGACGCATCAAGGAATATCACATTTTTGATGGTGTCCTACCCCTTTCACTCTGTGGTTCAGTCAACCAGATGTGGACTGTTTGTGCTCTATTGACAAATTTCCAAGGACCTCTATTTTAAATAAATAGTTAACTCAAAAATGAAAATCTGCTGAAAATGTACTCCCCCTCAGGCCATCCATGATGTAGGTGAATTTGTTTCTTCATTGGAACAGATTTGGAGGAATTTAGCATTACACCATTTGCTCAGTATCTTTGGTGGCCTGAGAGTAAGTACATTTTCAACAATTTTCATATTATTTATTTTTTTGGTAAACTATTAATTTACTCCCCAGACCTACATTTTAGCTTACAGTTAAAAAAACAAAATGTATATAAATGAGGAGTCATTTAAATGTTGCTACTTTGGTTTATTGTTGTAATTTGTACAGTAGAAAGACAAATATACAATGGATTGAATTACTGAAATAAAAAAAAATATATTTTGTACCCATTAGCTTTCATTGGTTTTAATCTAGAAATGAGTTCTAAAACTATACAAATATTTATTTAGTACTTATGTATACAATACAGTGAAAATCTATTATAAATAGCAATGACAATATTTTTACATTGTTATTTGTTTTAATGTAGAAATTAGTTGTTCTAAAACTGTACATATTTACTTAATTATCGAATGTGTGCATTGATTGTTAAGTGTGTTTGTGTGCGAGTAAAGGTATTTGCACTCTAGTACACTGTTTACATCAGGGCACTTGATTTCAAGCAACCCCCAGAGCACCAGAACTGTCAACCACCTTTCGATCAGGAGATGCGCCTAAATGGGGGACATGAGGATTTATGACAAAGCCACAAGGGAAAACACGATTGCCGGTTTCCTGCTCATATTGTGCAGCTGCATCTGGCTCCAGTTCCAGGCCTCTCTTCATGGCTTGTGTCTGCACTGACCTTTTCTGCTTCTGCATACTGGTGGCAAGCATGCTGAAGTCTGCAACTCGTGAGACTATTCTTTTAAAAGTGGATGAAGTCAGACGCTGGGAACGAACACGGTGCCATATCTTACTGTCACTCTGTACCCTGGTTTCTTTCTCTAGTGCCTCAGCATCAGAGGGTGTAACAGTCATACCTCTATAGAAAGTACTCTCCTTCTCATTTTGAACTGTTGAGTAAGTGCACGGTTGTGGTGGCAGAGGAAAAGGTGGGTAGTGATCAGTGGTTGTGGTGGGTAAGCCAACGGCTTGGTACGTCAAAGCTGATCCATGGGGCAAAAGTCCAAATTCCGATTCAACTTTGTCCACTGGGTATTTCCTTGATGCCAGCAGCAGTTTGTACATTTGGCTATTGCTTCCAATTTTAGCAAGGTTTTCACAAAGGTCATTAGCAAACTGATCTCTTGGTAAAGGGATTGGAATAGGACAGTAGATGTTGGGTATGATTCCATGACGAGATCTTTTATAGGATGTTTGTGGTGGATCAGCTGTTGGGGGCTTTAATTTTGATATTTTTACTGTATTAATAGGTTTAGGGGCTAGACCCATAGAACGTGAAGGAACGTGCCATGTCTGTGGTAGGGAGGTTTTACTAACAGTAGGTGGAATGGACTTATATCCCAGTTTGATATAGTGTGCCAGGGTATACAGTAACCCAATCTGATGATTGCAGTGACCTAGGCCAGCTTTGCAGTTGCACTTTGACAGGCCAACGACGAAGGAAACTTCCGATGGAAATTCCACCTGGTGTCAATTCTTACAGTTGCACAATTTGTATAGTACAATTTACAGTATTGACAGAATGCTGTTTATTCAGACATATAAAACTGTTGGAAGTGTCAGATCTTCATCAATTGGCGGCAAATTTGATAGATATTACAAAAATTCTGAATTTTAAAATTTATGTCTGTGACAACTGTGCAAAACAGTACAATATGAACAAAAGTAACTTTATTAATTGTGATTTTCCTACCCAGTGTTAATGATATTGAAACATTTGAGAAGGATGAAGAGGACCATTCATTTTCTGATCAGAACACAGGAGAACAGTAAGTCATCTATCTAATGCCAACAGAGTGAAAGATGTCTTATATAGGCATGATAGTTGCTGCATAATGACTCAATTGCTACATTTACATACACCCAAATAATCTGTTAGTAATGGGATTGATAGCTCAAATACCTTGCACACATGCAGTGCTGGGATGAATGTTTACTAGAGCCCTTTTATAAGATCTCTATGAACCAGATAAAAATTTAGGGTTCATATAAACAACTTTCAGAATCTGAAATCGGATTTATTCAGATTGATGAAAATTTGTGTAAACCTACACATTGACAACCTTGATACTTATTTTTGGTCTTCATAATTTTTTTTCTTTGTCTCTTCTATCCTAAAACAGATCTAACAGTGGTTTTGTGGCACTGCAAGACCATGATTACCTGGAAACATCTCCTTCCACTGAAGAGCAGCTGAATGCAGCACAAAAGGAGATTGCTCGTCTGACAAAAGAAAATGAAAATTTAAGAAGTCAGCAGTTTTGTCTACAAAGATTCCAATGTGAGCCCAAGCTGATCATGTTTTACACCGGATGTAAAGATTATGAAACCCTCAAAGCACTCTACCAGTCTCTTCAACCTACAGCACAGTCTCTGGTGAGATGGACTCAAATGCAAAGACTTAATAAAACAGAACAGACTGTAACTGCTGGCTTTCAGGCTCAAGACATTGGCCTCTTTGACCAGTTTTTCTTGTTTCTCTGCCGTATGAGGCAGGGGCTTCTTTCCGCAGATTTAGCAGTAAGGTTTAATATCTCAAAGGCCACAGTCAGCAGGATATGTATAACTTGGGCTAACTACCTGTATTTCATGCTTGGTACACTACCAGTATGGCCAAGTAGAGAGGCTGTTGATGAGCTAATGCCACCCTGCTTCAAGAAGACCTTTCCAAAAACACGTGTTGTGCTAGATTGTACTGAGATCCATATTCAAGCAGCAAGTTCAAAAGTTCTGAACACCATGACATACTCTCATTACAAGGGAACCACAACTTTGAAATCCCTGATTGGCATCACACCCTTTGGGACAGTTAGCTTTGTAAGCAACCTATACACAGGCTCCATCTCTGACAAGGAAATCACCAAAGAGTCAGGCATTCTGAAACTGCTTGAGCCAGGTGATGAAGTAATGGCTGATAAGGGCTTTCTTATCAAAGACCTCCTTGCTGACATCAATGTCAGTCTTGTAACCCCAGCTTTCACAGGGCCAAGCGGACAATTCAGTAAATATGAAATTACACATACCCAAGAGATTGCCCGCTTGAGGATACATGTGGAGAGGGCCATCAGACGCATCAAGGAATATCACATTTTTGATGGTGTCCTACCCCTTTCACTCTGTGGTTCAGTCAACCAGATGTGGACTGTTTGTGCTCTATTGACAAATTTCCAAGGACCTCTATTTTAAATAAATAGTTAACTCAAAAATGAAAATCTGCTGAAAATGTACTCCCCCTCAGGCCATCCATGATGTAGGTGAATTTGTTTCTTCATTGGAACAGATTTGGAGGAATTTAGCCATTTTAAAGGCGAGGCTGCTTGATATGTCCCGCCCTGTCTTCCGGTTTCAGTTAAAATGACGTCAACACACAGAGTAACACTGCGTGTTTCTAAGCATTTCAGGGGACCTTTAAAAATAAATTAAAACGGCTAAAAATCAAAATGTAATCTGACGTAATTTCTCTTATTTTAATATGATTCCTTAACTAATTTTATTTAGAAACCGGGAGCCCGTTTCATAAAACAAGTTTACCAAATAAGCCAGATTTATTTCAGTTAGTCTGACCTTTTGCCAGTTGATTTGGTTCAAAATAAGTCAGACTAACTCAAATAAGCCTGGCTTATTTGGTAAACTTGTTTTATGAAACAGGCCCCAGGATTTACATGGTCTTGGAAAACCTGAATATATGAGGGAATTTTAAAAGTATGATTCTTGAACTGATAAAGTAATGGAAATTAATAAAACCTTTAAAAGTGATCGAAATTTCTTTAATATATTTTTTTGTTATTAGGTAGAAATGCTATTTGTGAGTGAAAAAAGTAAATAAGAATAATAATAACAACAATAATAAAACATTATTTATGACCTTATTTTGCTATTTGTAAGTAAAAAAATGAAAAAGAAAAATTGTAATTAATTTTAAAATGTAAATTCATTGGTCATTAAAATGTGAATGCATTTTTATTTTGTTACAATTTTTTTAAAATTACTTTAACTTTGTCATTACAACAGAAGTATCAATAAAAAAAACAATAAAAAAAAAAACATGAAGAGCCTTTGAATATTGTTTTGGAAAATGGGGGTCCTTGGTTTTTACTGATTCATAAAAAAGAACAGACTCATTCTTTTGAGTAAATAAACAGTAATTTATTTGTGAATTGGACTACACTGCTTGTGCTCTATGTTTGTTGCTGACATTTAAGGACCATTAATGGTATACCACACATTTAAAGGGGTGGTTCACTGTTTTTTTTCTAGGCTTGATTGTGTTTATGGGGTGCAGCCTAACATGTGTTAATGCTTCGTTTTTTAAAAAACGCATTATTTTTCACATAATTTACCTTTATTCCACACCGCTCTGTCCCTTCTCTGAGAAACGGGCTGATCTTTTCCTGGTTTTATGAAGCCCCGCCCTCAGAAATAGGCGATGGACTCTGATTGGTTAGCTAGCCCAGTGTGCGGCATGTGCTCCGGTTGTATTGTAAACAATGGCGTCGTTAATATTGCTTATCAGTTTGAGCCCGATTGAGAAGCAGAGGATATTATTGAAGAGGATTGTGCAGAACCTGTGCAAGCACGGCTTTTAATGGTAGGCCTATGTTTTTTGTTTGTTGTCATCTCATACTTTTAGATACACTGTTATTTGTAAATGTTACTGCTTACTGCTTTTAATATACGGTTTTATCCTGATTAAAGCTTTAATACAGTACAGCAACTGCACGTGCGTCCATGTTTACCGCTTCTCATAGCTATGTGAAAATAACTGTATAATTGTAACAGTTCATTGCTGGAGCTGAGCTGAATGAGAGAGAGAGAGAGAGAGAGATGCAGAGCGTGTGCAGAGCAGGGCTTCTCTAAAGCAGCGCAGCATGGCCTCGCCCCCTTTGCTGCCTTTTCCCGAGGGCGGGGTTTATCTGGGTTTGTGATGTCACGAACCCGGGAAGTAACTTGTTGTAGTCCCTACCAGCCATTTTTGTAGGCATTAAACTGCCAGAATCTTAAAAGACGATATCTCCGTTTGCATTGAACTTTCAGCTTCGTAACTTTGCAGATATTGTTTATGCTCAAACAGCAACATTACACACTAACTAACGTTAAAAAAGTGAAATCACAATGAACCACCCCTTTAATCTTTTTTCCCCATATTATTTCCTTTTCTAGAAAGCATTTGATGGGCAGGATAAGTACAGGACAAGTCAGAATGTTTGATCCATTTCCCAAAAGAGAAACTGCATACATTAGGTGCTAAAACAAATGTCAACTTATAGGAGTACATCTGGCTACACTTCTTGCATTGTATGTTTCTTATTAAGAACTATTGAAAGTGCCCAACTTTTAATCATTGTATTTTTTCCCTTTTTCTAGAAAGCATTTGGTGGACAAAAGTCTGTTTAGTAAAGGGTAAGTCAGTATTTTTGGTCCATTTCCAAAAGAAAAACTGCATGCACTATGTGCTAAAACAAATGTCAACTTTTAGGAGTACATTAGCATATTGAATTGGCCACAAAGCTAAAAATTATGTACTGAAAGCCACAAAAATCCAATTTTGTGGTCTTTAAGGGGTGTAACCTCAAATTTCAGTTCCCAGCTCTACTCAAGACACTACCTAAAAACAGTTTTTAAAAAACAAAACTTCTACCTTGTGTAAGCATAGTATTTCTTTTACTTTTCAACTGAATCCAGCTGCTGCTAAACTGCAATGCATCTGGGCAGAGAGAGAGAGAGAGAAAGAGAGAACGGAAACATGCAGAGACTGAGGAAAAACCAAAACTGCTTAATGTGTTGACCCAATTCCATGCCGAATGAAAAAAAGACCATATACAACATGGTATTTATTTATGCACTTGCTTGATTAAGGGAAAAAACCTAGAAGAGCATGCCTCACAGCGAATCAGCCTCCTCAACGAAAGGAAACCCCACTTCTAGTCTGTGGTTACAAATAAGCAGAGGCGGACAGTAACTAAGTACATTTACTTGAGTACTGTACTTAAGTACACTTTTTGAAAATCTGTACTTTACTTGAGTATTATTTTTTCTGGGAACTTATGATTTTAACTTCACTATTCCAAAGATACTACAAGCTAGTCAGTGTATTCAGTAGGTGTAATGTATTCTAAGTTGCTTCAGAAGTATTGCAAGTATTACGTACAACAATAAAAAAGGATTGTTGGAAATTTACTTTTGGTACTTAAGTACTTTTAAAAGCAAGTACTTCTGTACTTTTACTTAAGTAAAAATCTGTCTTTACAACTTTTACTTGTAATGGAGTAATATTTGACTAGCAGTATCTGTACTTTCACTCAAGTAATGGAATTGAGTACTTTGTCCGCCTCTGCAAATAAGTAGTCTTGCTTTAAAAAGCAGTTTAGGAAAGGCTGCTGTTGAGATCCCGCTTGATTTGTTTATTATGCGTTAAAGGAAAGATGACGTTCCCAAAGAAAGCTGGCAGGATGAGCCACAAACTTTGCCCTACTGACTCACATTATCATTTCTGATATGTGGCAGGATACCAGGTTTTTAGTGCATCAGGAGTGAAAATGTGTCAGGATTAGTTTATTAATAAGTTATTGTGCAATGCAAAGAAGGTGTGCATTACTTTTGACCGCATTTACATGGTAAAAACACAACGTGTTAGCATGAAGACAAGTCTAATGCTGTGTGTTTGTCTGTGAATGAGTCTCGTTTGTCTCCTCACGGTGAGTGATGATGATTGTTGCATCCCTTCCTTCTTCCTGCTTCATTTAATGTGATCCCTCAGGGCTGTAGCAGGTCTATTTTCTTTGTTTCTGTGAGACAGACCTGTCTGAAAACCCTTGTTTCTTCTGTTGTTCAGGCTTGAGTGGATGCCTTTTGTCGCCGATCTCATCCTGGGCACTGGAAGTTGGCACGGTGAGCATCTTTACCCACTGACCTCCCTGCAAAAGCAGCACAGCTTCCCTTTGCTCATTAGTAGCGCAATTAACCAGCGCACCGCTGGGCTGGGACACTGGACCGGCCCATTCTTCATTTCCGTCTTCCAGCGCCGTAACCACCAATAATCAGACAGGGCCACATTGTCCCACCAATATCTGATATTCTTTGATGCTGCTTTGTTTGTTGCAAGGATGTCTAAAAAGTTTTAAAAGTTACATTTTTAGGTTTGTCTGCCTCAGCTGTCCATCAGCACTCGTCAATATCAAAATGATTGAGATGGCCAATCAAATCAAAGAAGGCGGGGCTTGCTGTTTACAGAATCTGAGCACAAATTCCAGCCTGATGCTTCAGTTTTAACAGTGAAGGAGTGTAAGTTAAGATATATTTTGAAAATTTCTAGAATAGAAATGTTAAATGAGTAGCAATAGAGCGCTGCAGTGATGACATATTTTTGTAGGCCAACCCAGAATTTACTATCACCCTGGTTCCCTCGACATAAACCCATTAGAATTTTTCCACTGGCTTTTAGATTATTAAAGAAAATAAGGTCTATGACCAACACAAGTTTATGATTCTTACATGTTTTGTTCATCAGTAACACAATTCAGTCACAAATGAACACAACTTATGAATTTTCAAGCCTGAATACAGTTGCCAGAAGTGAAAAGATAAGCGAACTACACTATAAGGCTTCTGACAACTCTTTCAGTCTTTATTTATTTGCCCTGAAAGTTTGAGTTAGAAAAGTTTGCAAGCGTGTGATTATAAAACCCAACGAGACTGTGAAAGTGGACTAGTGAGTAGATGAGTTTACCTGTTTGGCATGATGATGTTTAATATCCGACAACCTCTGTAGTGCCTATTTAGTCACATGTTAGCAACCACCTTTTTCAAGACAAGTAAAGGCTTTAGAGGGTATTACTGATCTATTTTATGCTGTAGAATAAAACATGAAAATGTCTTGAGCTTGTGTTCACCACAGACCTTATTTCAGGCATTTAACCAAAAACCCAGGACGATGGAACTGGAAGTGCTAAAATGCAACTCGTTTCTGGGTTCTGGCCTACAAAAATACATCATCCCTTCAGCACTCTATAATATCCAGTGATGCAAACAACTCAACTTTTTGTCACCGTTTTGAATTGAAAATGCAGACTGTGATTCATGTAATTGAATGTGACAAGACGAGAAACATAAACAGTTGTTTTCAGAATAGTAGGCATACGATTGATACAACTGAATGTGTGCATCTTGTAAAATAAAAATATTATTTGCAAATACTTAAATACAATAAATTCCAGTTTTTGCTGTTTTGCTTTCTGCT